GTAAAAACACTCAAAAGGTTTCTCTCCTGTGTGAGTCCTTTGGTGTTCAACCAAGCTGGAATTCTGACTGAAACTTTTACCACAATCAGGACACTCAAAGGGTTTCTCTCCTGTGTGAGTTCTCACATGTGCAACGAGGTGAGAATTCTGACTGAAACTTTTACCACAATCAGGACATTCAAAAGGTTTCTCTCCTGTGTGAGTCCTCTGGTGTTGAACCAAGCTGGAATTTTTAGTGAAACTTTTCCCACAGTCAGGACACTCAAAGGGTTTCTCTCCTGTGTGAGTTCTCACATGTGCAATGAGGTGAGAATTCCGAGTGAAACTATTCCCATGTTCAAGACGTTTAGAGAGATTCTCGCTTGTGTGAATCATCTGGTGGCTAATATGGTTGGAACAGGTAGTGAAGCTTTTCCCACAAACAGGACATTCATATGGTTTCTCTCTGTGTGAGTTATCTGGCATATCACAAGCTGTTCTGATCAGAGGTTTTGCCACATTCAGAGTATATGTAAGGTTTTTCTCCAGTTTGAATCCTCTTAGGCATAATCAGCTGTGATTTCAAGTTGAATCTTTCCTACAAGAGGCAAGTGTATGGAGGTTTTCCACAACTTATATTCTTGAGGAGGTAAAAAAAATGGATCGTCACTTCTTAGTAGTGCTTTGATTCAAGCTGTTTTCTTCCTCTCACAGTGAGACCTTCAACACTGTCTGCTCTACGTGGCTTTCCAATTGACCTTTTCGTCCCCAGTAACTTCCAAATATTTCCCTCTTTTGCTGAATGGAAAAACAATCTTCCTTGACTTTTCATGTAATATAAGCTTGAATATCACACACTACTTTTCCCAGCTAGAAATCTCTTCTTGATTTTCTCTCATTTCTCTATCACCTACTGAGGAAGGTGAAGAATTGTGTAGCTTTTCGAATGAAATGGAAAATAGTTTGATTTCTGGACTGACTTGCTTTGCTATTCAGTGATGCTTGTTCTCCACAGTTGTCCAGAGTGCTCTTATTGCCATCCTCTCTGTCTATAAGATTCAAATAAAAGGGTATCTTTAATTGGGCATAAAATGGTTGCGGAAGATGAGAAAAAAAAACATTTACATTACAATGACAAAGCAAACATGCCACAATGCTCCAATAAGCTCTTACATTAATCATGATTCATTTGATACATGGAAGACTACCCAGATCCAAGTCCGAATATCCATTCAATGAAGAAATTCATTTGTTGACTGGGTCAATCACAAATTCTTAGCAGAGCAAAGGGTTGTTTTCAAATACAGGCAAGTGAAAAGGAAAGAACTACCTCTTTGATATGTTGGCTTTACTTATCAGGACATAAAAATATCATCGCAACAGAAAAGAGTCATAGAATTTGAAAGGATCTTGGAGATATTCTAATCCAGCCCCTCCTCCACCAGGAGACCCAGAGGTGGGCTGCTACCGATTCACACCTGTTTGCCATGAGATGTGGGCGTGTTTCCTCTGTGTGTACGTTTGGACAAAGAAAGAGGCAGTTGCTGGGGAAGAAGTAGGGAGTGAGTAAGGGTCTTCTGAAGGAGGGTAAACGGGATGGAGGTAAGTTAGCGAGCCGAGCTGGCGAGTTCGCAGTGGAAGCATGTGGGGCAGTGGGGAGGTTTACAAATGTACACATCATGGCATTGGGACCTTCTGTGAGTAGATAGCGTGTGGGGGAGTCCCTCTGGCGCTGTGAGATGTGTGCATGTTTGCTCTGTCTGTACATTTGGATGAAGAATGAGGAAAGCTGTAGTGGAAGCAAGCGAAATGGGGGGGAGGCTGAGAATGGCAGGAGCTGGACGCACAGACTGAACACCACGGCTTGTTTTGTAGAATCTGGACCTTGGCAGGATTTTCTGTTTTAGAAAGCAGGTTGCGTCCCTTTCGCTGAAGCAAACTTTTCTTTGAAGCCTGCATGGGCGAACGCTACGCCATCGCTCCAGTTGGCCTTTGTATTCCCTGCCGTCCCCGCCTTTTGCTAGTCCAAGCTAAGAAACTTGAGTTTACTTTCATAGATCTCGCTCTGTTGCATTTTCATCCTCCCCGCCCCCCATTAAATTTCTCATCCTTCCTGAGACTCTAGGCCTGATTTAGCAGGAAGGGAGAGGTGGGGGTTTTGGGCCCGGGATTGGATCTTGGCTGCCGCATTGGAGGTTTCATTAAAAGATCTTTATAAAAAGTGCTGCCGTGGAGCCCTTCTTCACACAGAATCGCCTGGCAGTGAGGAGGGAGAGGGAGAAGGGGGTGGATGCTAGCAGAGAGGAGAGTGCTTTTGGGACGAGGGGAGCCAGGAAGAGAAAAGGCAGCTTGCAAGAGCAGAGGAAGGACGGCAAAGCAAGCGAGTGAGCGAACCTCACCTGCCAGTGGGCCTCTTTATTCCCCCTCGCTCCCAAGGCAGCCAGGTAGCACCCACCTCCTCGTGTGAGAAGCTACTGAAGGGCCTTCTCACTGGGACCGCTGCCCATGTTCAGATTCCCTGCCTCCCTCTGGCAGCCGTCAGCTGAGCATGGCGGCCCGACCAACTTCAGCGATACCACCACCCTCTGTGCTCATAATCTGTCATCTTGAAATGTTTCTTGAAAGTGACCCCAAAGGAGTGAGCAAAGTAGGCTTCTTATCCTACATTCTCATTAGGGGTAGTCCTTGATTTATGTCCACAACTGAGCCAAAATTTCCATTGCTAAGCAAGATTTAAGTGAGTTTTGCTCCGTTTTGTGATTTTCCTTGCCACTGTTAAGTGATGTTCAGTAATACTAAATAAATATTGTATCTGGTTGAGGCTGGAGGCGGGGCCAGTCGTGGTGAGTGACGTCGAGTTGGCCACGCCCAGGCACTCACATGATCACCCAGCCATGCCCACGCAGACAGTCATTAGGGCAGGGAACCAGTTGTGAAAAACTTTGCAGCCCACCACTGAGGAGACCCTATAACATTTCAGATCAGCGGTTGTCTCACCTCTTCTGAAAAGCCCCAAGTGATGGAGCACCACAACTACTGAAGGCAAGCTGTTCTGCTGGTTAATTGTCTCACCAATAGGAAATTTCTCAGTGCTTCCATATAATGAGGCGATGTACCAGTCAACTACTGCTAATAAAGTGCCCTTGTTCAATTGCTAAGAAACAAAGAGTTATATCTCAGATTCTACAGGCTTCAGTTACCATGCTAAATGTTAAGATTCATGAAATTGCAATTAGAAAAAGACTGAAGAAGTATGCTTCGTTTGGAAGGGCTACACAAGGCAAAGTCTCTTCTCTCTAAAAAGGTCATAGCAGCATGGCTGAGGTTTGCAAAGTTGCACCTGAACAAATCACATGATTCTGGAATACTTGTCCTTGTCACAGACTAGACCAAAGTGGAGATATTTGCCCATAATGCACAGTGATACGTTTGACAAAAACCAAACACAGGATATCAGCACAAGGCATCTCATACAAACTGCCAACAATAGAGGTGGAGAGGTGATGATTTGGGCTTGTTTTGCAGCCGCAGGACCTGGACACCTTGCACTCTTTGAGTCGTCCATGAACTCCTTTGTATACCAAAGTATTCTAGAGTCAAAAGTGAGGCCATCTGTCCAATATTTATTTATTTATTTTATTTATTTATTTGATTTGTCAATTGTTTACAAAATAATAAGTATAAGTGTATACATAGTTGTGAATACATGAGATGGGTACATATAAGAAAAATAAAAGAATAGAGAAACAATAGGACAGGGACGGTAGGCACGTTGGTGCGCTTATGCACGCCCCCTACAGACCTCTTAGGAAAGGGGTGAGGTCAATGGTAGACAGTCTAAGGTTAAAGTTTTTGGGGTTTGGGGAAGAGACTACAGAGTCGGGTAGAGTATTCCAGACATTGACCACTCTATTGCTGAAGTCGTATTTCCTGCAATCAAGTTTGGTGCGGTTTACTTTGAGTTTGTATCTATATATTTATATATTTTATATATTTATAAATATATAATATATAATATATAATATATAATATAATAAATATAATATAATATATAATATATAATATTATAAATATATAATATATAAATATATATATTTTATATATTTATATATTATATATTTGTATTATATAGCTAAAGCTAGGCTGACATGGGATTATGCAACAGGACAATGGTTGCCAACACATCAGGAAATCTACAACAGAATGGCTAAAAAAGAAAAGGATCAAGGTGTTGCGAGTTGTGCATAAAAAACCTCAATGGACTGAAGCAACGTTGTAAAAAAGATGGGCCAAAATTCCTCCACAACGCTGCAAGTGACTCATAAAGTCACACAGAAAATAATTACTTCTAGTTGTTGCTGGTTCTACAAATTATTGAACCACACATTTTCCACACACGACTTCTTTGTTTTGGCTTTCTTTTTATAAAATAAATGATGATCTGATGTAATATGACATGTTCATCTGTGGTTGTATTTATCTACTTTTAAGAACTTCTAAGGACCAAATGATTTTTACTATGTCCTGATATATAAAATCATAGAAGTCAAGGAGAGTGTAGTTTCTTTTTCACATGACTGGAAGTCATGGAGTATACATTTGGAGGTATATACGATATACGATACACACACACACATTTCAGAGAGAAATAACACACACCCAATATGGAGAAAATCCGTGTCTTTCCAGCCTGAAAAATATCTCAAAATTGTTTCAGTCAAACCTTCTGCGCTAAAGTTAATCAGGAATCTGATCGATTTGATGATTGCTCGTCTATTGAGATGGCAAGGCTGAAGTTCAGGCCTCAACAAGCTTCTGGGACCATGAAAACTTCCATAGGAAACTACTAGCCCAGGGGTCTGCAAGCTTAAACACGAAAAGAGCCATTTGGACCAGTTTCCCACGGGG